ATATGTATATATATATAAAATTAAAATTATATCTTATAATTAAGCAATAATACGATTACGTGGGCAATAATTAATGTTATTTAAATTTAATTTTTGCATAGATTTAGTTAAAAAAAAATAAAAATTACCTATAAATTTGTCACTACCAACGAAAAAAAATACAAGCAAAGATACATGTTTTCTATTACCTCCCTTTCCCCTCTCAGATGCTGGCATGGAACATATTACTATGAATAGAAAGAGCAAGCAAGCAGCTAAATCAGATTAACTGAATCCACTGCGTAAAGTATGCGAAAAAATAAAAGAACATCGCGTTAGTACAACTGGACGCATAAGGATAGCAGGGTTGTGTATAAGTTGTGCAATCATTTCATAAGTCCCATGTGAATTCGTACTCTCGCACATACGAAAAGACATGTGTTCACATTCATTCTATTAATTATAAAATAAATAGTTTTGTCACAGAGACGTTTCTAAATTTAAGTATTTTTTTTATATTTTAATATGCAAAAAATATATAACTATGCGCCAGTGTATCGATTTAAAACTTAACGCTATCTGGAGAGGAAAAGGGTATTTGCTGTTTAATCACACGAATCATGTTTGATGCAGTCAACACAAAGATGAAGGCGGATGACGCTTCGTTTTGTACGAGTTGAACGTGAGAAAGCAGAAAGTCTGCTTACATCGACCCATACTTGCCTTGTGCTATTTATCCAGTTGTACGAGAAATGATGAAGCAAAGAATGTAATAATAAACTCTCATTAATATCTTTAAGGACCAACACATCAAACCTTATAATATTCCTATAATATCTTAATAAATAAAATAGACGCTGGTTAGTAGACGCTGGTAATATAAAAAACATTTATATTTACACCTATATATATATATATATATATATATGTGATTATTAATGATTCGTTATTGTGTTTAATGTTATTCTATATGTATGCACAGCAACTGAAAAAATGATCCTTGCAAAATGAAACTGCTGAAATGGTGACGTTTGTTATTACATTCTGCATTAAGCAGCTTTAATAAACAATCTTAGTAAAATACGTCACTCGTTCGAATCGGTTTTTAACAAATAGTCCTAGTTGTCTCTAAAGGAAAAAGTTTTTACTTTGGAATTCTAGATTTTTATTATTTGATGACATTCTTACATTAAGATAAGAATAATCATAAAAAAAGACTTACTAGTTTTCGGCGTCAAATATACAGATATCGCAGTTATAGGATCATAACTCGGATCTCGATATAACTCGGTCACGAGTAGGTCGTTATCCTTCATTCGCAAAGGAAACTTTTGCATATCTGTAATTCATATAATCGAAATTCAAGTAATCGAAATATATATGATTACACAAATATAATTCTTTAAAAATTAGCTTATGATCTACAAAATGATTTAAATCCATTAAATATTTTTTTAATGATTTAAATACTTTTAATATTTAAGATTTTTGAGAGAAAATTTTTATACTCTCTCATAACACTCTTCTAATATATAAATTGACAATTTGTGTCCACCAAGAATTTTACTTAGAAATATAATATTTTTTTTTCTTACCAATATAATAAATAGAACCATTATTGCAACCTAATAGAAGAAAAGATCCAGCTGTGTCAAATGACAGGA